TTAGTAATTTTTTGTTCTATTTGAAAAAAAATTATAATTTTTTAAAACATTTTTGCCAAGGAAGCTTTTAAAATATGTTTTCAATTTAGTATACCAAGTTTTCTTAGCATAATAAAAATAATAATAAACAAGGATTTAGACATAAAGCCATGGGGCTAAAATGCCCCGCGTTGGGAGTTTTAAACTGAGTTTTATAGTTTCTTTGAGTTTACACAGCTATTGCAGCAGTTTATTCTCCATGTGCATGGGACACTTTCCTCATATTTACTGATGAAATATATCCAGAAAACGTTTTTGAGGCTTGATTTGAGTCTTTCGTATTTCATCGCAAACAGGTCTTCTTCTTCCTGAGTCTGTAAAATTTTGTTTGCTAGTATAGGTGTTCTGTGCCAGAAATTGCTTTTCGATTTTTCGTAATGATAATTTTTATGCGCTAAGTTATTTTTCGTTGATCTTCTTGTTGGGGCTGTAGATTCTTTGAACTGAACAAAATGTCTCCAATGGAAGTTGTATTGGTCGTTTATTATTTTATGAAGCAAGAGAATGTCGTGCATTTCGTGGTAGAGAGACAGTGGAAGCAGGTTTAATCTAATCAGTCTGTCTTTATAGTTGATGTTGTTACATGACAGTATCCAACGTGTAGCTTTTCGTTGGACATCTTGAATAATTCTTAATTCACACTTATTTGCTTTCCATATGGGTGAGCCATATGACACAATTGGGGTTACATATCCACAGTAGGAGTTCCGTTTCATTTTTAAGCTCGCTGATTTTGAAATATTTCTTTTAATTAAAAATAAGCAGCCTATTGCTTTTTGGGCTCTTATTTTTGCGTGTGCTGACCAGTTTAGGTTGTTGGTTATTTGTATACCAAGGTCTTTTTCTGAACAGGTTTTTTCAAGTATATGGTCACCGAGATACATGTTTAGGTCAAGTTGGGGGTCTTTGAATATTATATTGTGACATTTTTTCAGATTAAGACTCATGGAATTATGTTGGAGCAGGGAAGGGTTCGTTGCAACAATTTTATAATCGTCTGCGTAACCATAGCACGAGTTGGTGAGTGATGACGGTAAATCGTTGATGAATGTAATGAAGAATACTGGCCCTAACAGTGAGCCTTGAGGTACGCCGCTACTAACTTCAAGATGGATGGATACTGCCGCACCTATTCGTACTTGCTGTTTTCTGTTGGTTAAGTAGTTTGCTAATAGTTTAAGTGCGTTTCCTGATATGCCAAATTTATTGAGTTTATATATGCACAAGTCGTAAGGAACTTTGTCGAAAGCCTTTTCGAAGTCTAAGTATATTGCATGTAGAGACTTGATATTAGGGTTATCAAAGTCATCATAGATTTTGTCGAGGAATTGGAGCATTTGCAGAGTTGTCGATCGTTTAGGACAGAAGCCAAATTGGCTGTCATGGATTTGCGAGAAGATCTTTGGTGAGATTTTAAGGAAGATCAGTTTCTCTAAGACTTTGGATACTGCAGTTAGCAGGCTGATGGGCCTGTAGTTTGTGACCGATTGCTTGTCTCCATTTTTACAAGTTGGGATGATTTGGCTAAGTTTCCAGATCGTTGGAAACGTTGCTTTGTTGGTGATGGTGTTATAAATCAGTTTTAGAGATGAAGTTATGCTATCTGCTATATTGGTTACGACTGTGTTACCGAGTCTATCTGGTCCTCTTGCTTTTTGGAGGTTTAATGTTTTAAGGATGTCGTATATCTCATTTTCAGAGAAATTGAAGCATTTGATTGAGCCAGGTAATTCAGCTATTGGTAAAATGTTTTCATTCTGTTTAATGTTAAAACGCTTACGAAGTAATTGTTTAGAAGATTAGCTTTACCGCGCTCTGTTGATTCGGTTTTTTCATTCCAGTGCATTGTTTTTGGAGTACTTGAGTTTTTTCGTATGCTTTTAAAGTATTTTTGGAGCTTTGAGAAATTTCTGCCCTTGAAAGTTGATTCTTCGAAATTTTTCTGATCTAATTCGGATAAATGATCTACAAGGTTTTTAAGTCTTTCAAGATTGCGGTTATTAGTATGAGTATTTTTAAAGGCTACTTTTTTTGATGCTGTGTTGAGTCTTTTGATAATATTGGAGGTTTCAGGTGTGATCCAAGGTGCTAGGTTCATACGGTGTTCGGTCTGTTTTTTCATGTGTTTTTCTAGTGCTATATATAGCCAGAGGTACCATGAGTTGATTAAGTAGTCAATGTTAGAGTAGCAGTACGGTTGAAATGGGTGTTCCAAAATGTATTTGTTTAAAGTAATCCAATCGACGTTGTTTAATGAGAAGACACCAAAGTCCAGAAAGTCGGATCCGTGTTGTATGGGAGTGGCTTTTTCGTCATTGTGTGTAAGAGATGATATCGTGATTAGAAAAGGGTTGTGGTCTGATAATTCTCTTTCTTGGTGTGAGAAGTGTTTTTTCATATGGTTGTCTATCGTGGTGTTTAAAATAATGTCGGGGTTGTTGCAAAGGACAATATCTAATTGGTCATGAGGGGGTTCGATAAACTGTTGAAAGTTCATATCAGTAAAAGTCTGCAGTACTAATTGTTCGTGTTTTTGGGTTGATTGCAAGGTTTGCCAATGCGTATTAGCGAAGTTGATGTCACCAACCAATAAAATATTTGGGCATTGAAATTCATTTGAGTAGTCAGTTAGCATATTCAATAGTTTGTTGAAGTCATCTGTGGATAGCTTATATTTGCTTTCGTTCGGGGCACTGTAGATAGAGCATAGGATGAGAGGTGTCGGAGTGTTAAGGAGGAGTCCAACGCAGTCCGTAGTGTGTATTTCAAGTTTTGTGAAAGCTAGGGATTGCTTAACAGCAATAAGCACGCCCCCGTGTTTCGATTTTGTTGAGTTGGTAGGTCTATCACATCTAGTTATTATGTGTGCAGGCAGAAAAAGCGCGTTGTCAGGGATATTTTCAGTTAACCAAGTTTCGCTTAAGCAAATAATGTCATAATCGTTCGATAGTATTATATTGCTAAGTTTCATACGTCTATTTATATCCAGTATACTTCGTGTATTGAATGACATAACATTCAGCGATTCTAGTCAGTTGTTATTTCTAATCTGAATTGTGCTGTTTTCCTCCGGTTTAATTGTAACTTTTGTCCAGGTGTCGTCTACTTTTTCATGCAGTTCTAGGTTTCTGATTCGAAGATTTTTGGGGTTTTTACCACTGCTGATGAGATTTCTACGTTCTCTCAGGATGGCGTTTTCCAGTTTCATTTCTTCGACTGAGAGTTCCTTACTTATGAAGACATTTTTGTCATAATTTTTGAGGTCCGGTGTTGATGATAGTATCAAGTCTATTTCTATTGGACAGGTAACTCGTACCAGTATAGTTCTGTGGTTTGCTCGTTCTTCGCTGAACTTTCCCAAACGCTTGAGATCAGTGATATTGCATTCAAGGTTTAAGAATTTCATGATTTTATTTACCTCATCATAGTCATGGTCAAGTCTTTTTCTTCCATCTCTTTCCTTGATCTCGGGGACCCCTCTTATTCTCAATCCTTTGCTCAGGGGTTTGATTGTTTTGCGGCGCTACTTGTGACCAGGTTTTACCCTGTTCTGCTATTGGCAGGCTTTGGATGGGATCTTTAATATTTTCCATTTTTGTCGAGACTTCGGCTACTACTTTACTTAATTTTGAAATTTCTTCTTCAATTTTTTTGATGTTTTCACTTTTGTCATGTGATGCTGTGCTTCTGATTACTTGATCTCTTTTTCCGTTGAACAAACAGGTATTGCATATCAGTAGTGCGTTGTTACCAAGTTCCAGTATTCCATTGAGTGCAACGGTCGAGAGGCCAGTGCAGACAACTTCAAGGTGCATAGAGCAATTACAGGTGATGCAATTGTATATTGGGTCATTTTCGTTTATGGGTTTTTTGCATGCTTTGCAAGGTTTTTTGTCCTTTGACATTCTCAGTTTTATTTATGTTTACGTCCTCTTATCTCTGTGGAAACTGTGTTTGGGGGATGAAGGTTTAGGTAGTGTACTCGAGTCCTCAGGGTGGTACCTGAAGGGCGCCGATTGAGGACTGAAGTATCAGTGTTAGGGTTATGAAAACAGTTGTTTGGGACCTTAAGGGTACTTGATGACTAGCGGGAGAAAACGGTTATATTTATAGACGTGAATTCACAAAGACATCAAATCTGGCGATACCTAAAGGGTATCAATAGAAAATTCAGTCTCTGTGAAAATGATGACACCGACAAATTTTAAGATAGCAACTTTCATCTACACAGAGGCGAAGCGGAGCAAAAAACACATTGCGCTAAAAAATAGTGAATGAAAAAAAACAGAAGTCAGAAAAATTTCTGAAAAATTATGCTTGAAAAAAAATTACTTGAAAAAAAAAAATACTTGAAAAAATAACTTGACAAACGTTGAAAAATAGAGCTACAAAAACTTCATATTTGCATAAGATTAAGTTCACAAACAGCCCTTAAAAAGTGGAAATCATTTACAGAGCGGCAACAAAGGCGACTAACTTTGAGTCGAAACCTGTTGAGCCGAGAAAAAAATTTGTGTCATAAAAAATTTCATTTAACTTTAAAAAATGAACACTTTAATTGCAAAATGATAACTAATATTATTAAGCAAGTGTAAGTCACACAACTTTTCTGAGTTATATACTTAAATAGCAAATATTTAAATTAATGGTCTTAATTAAATTAATTTTATGACCTATCCAAACTGAAACACAATCCCAAATGGATATACTTTGCCCTCAAAATTACGCAATATAAATTCACTAAAATTATATAACATAAGGTTCGATCGGAGGTTTCTAACGTGAACATACTTTTAAACGATTACCAAAACTTCAAACCGGCTTTTCTCAACACTGGGACAATTTTTCAATGAAAACAAAAATCATTAAAACACCCGAATACAAAGTTCCTCCCCATTTTGAATGGTCGGAATAAAAAGTATTGATTCGCAATGTAACGCAAGAAAATTCCAATTGTGAACCTTGATTTCGTGAAATGTTCTTTGTGGACAACAGGGCTATAATGCACAACCTTCGGCACGAAATAACGAGCATATTTGTCCGCGCAATATCCTTTGTTCACAAGTCCTGCTTTGTTCGCAGCTGCAATTTCTGCCAGCAATTTACCCTGAGACATTTTCGAGAACCATTCATTACATTTCTGAAAGAAGTCAGAAATAACAGCCTTGTCGAATACGTTAAAAAAACTAAATTACAAAAGGGGCCCTACCGTTTAGTTACGGTAAGTGCACAAGCTGAACAGGGACATGCGCTCTAGAAATTAATCGGCAAAAATTTGCGAATACATCAAATCAATTTTAAAGCATCCAGAGAACTGTCAGTTCTCTCCTCGATTATAGCACTGATGGATGTAATTTTAAGTTTGTTGTACTCCCTGAGGCAGAGGATTGCACTCCTCAGAAGTGCAAATTTATTTAGGTTCTTACAAAGTTTATTGTGTCTGAGTATGATTTGTTCCGTTTTTCGCTTAAATTCTCTGCTAGTTTCTGGACGGTTTTTGTAGAGCCTGGTGCTTTTCCTGTACACGCAAAAATTGGTCGAACAAAGCTGCTGTGTCCCACATCTTGAATTGTTTCTTGGTATTTCAATGTTTTGAGACTCTCAAGATAATTGATGACCTCAGATATACTCTTAGGACAGGATTTAGCATGGGCGTTGAGAGCTTTTACATCGAAAAAGGTTCGACTGAATCGGCCTCCTCGAAGTCCTTTGCCTTGATGTCAAGTCAAGCGTCATTTTCAGTATTGGTTGTTTTGTAGTGAAAGCTTTCGCCTTCCAACGATTGCAGCTTCGGCTCTATTTGAAACATCACGCAAATGACTCTGAGGCGGAGGTGACAAAGCAGGGCAAAGGCGCGGAGGTGTTGGCTGGGGACCTCCAGCCGGAGCCGAACGACCAATAAGTGCTAAGATATTGTTGGGGCTGTTTTTTCTTTGCTGTGCTGAGTGCCACATGAGTTTAAGTGCTCGTGGCCTGCAAAGAGATTACCGAAATTTTGCTGCCACCACCACTCCTGTGATTGGTCCTGAAAAAAAAACTCATTTGGAAACTTGTGTTAGATTATTTAAAACGTTTTTTTAAACCTTATAGCATTTTCCTGAGAACTAAATTTCTGAAAACTGTCTCGATAATGACATTATACCAGATTTAATACGGTTTCGCGTGTTTGATAACGGTGTTTTTCGGATCAAGCGGTGCACAGTTTTAAACCGAGACTCTTGAGATCTGAGAAAAGCCAGGCAAATGCGGATAGGGCCAAGGCATCGGGTAATCTAGCAAAAGCAAGGGAATATTGGTGTATTAATGAGAAGTGGTGAACTTCGCTATTATTCTGTCTAAACATGCAAGCAAGGTGTAATGTCAATAGCCTGATAAGCCGACACAAGAGAAAGCTTTAACAATTTTCGGAATTACAGGATATACCATTGAAAAACTTGGATGAAAGGTCAATTAAAATTTTAGTCGAATTGATTATACCGCTCTGTGTGCGGGAAGTTTTATGTTTTGTATCAAAATATCCGGTATGAGACGAACTCAATGAAAATCATTTCTTTGCGGACATTGATAGTTTTTTGTCCGAACTGAAGTTAAATAGATTACCAGGAGATAATTTATTTGAGATTGAAGCAGCTGCAAAGAGATATGCCAACAATGTGAAACAGACCCCTTCTGACAAAGGTGTTGAAAAAGCCAGAAAGTATTTGAAGGACAACGGTCTTCTGGCAGTGCCGTTTGATAAGAGTGTGGGTATTGTGTAAAGAAAAAGGAGACATTTGAAAAGAAACTGAAAAATTTATTACAGGCAGAACAATTTAGTGAGAGGAAGAATCTGACACACAGCGTGATTATAAACAATGAAAAAGATATAAGCAAAAATTAACTGGTCATGAAAAAGAAGGACGAGATTAGCGAAGCACTGTATACTAGTTTGAGATCAATGGGGCGCGGCTCCATGGATTAGCAAATGTACACAAATAAGGCAGACGACTTCGACCGTCCTTTCTTTACTTGGTAGCTCATATGACAACCTATAAAACACTGGCGGAGAACTTTGATGAAATTGAGGGGGCAAACCTAAAAACCAACACTCAAATGTCCGGTGAAATCTTGGAGAAAACTGAATTGGATTCTGATGATAGTATAATCTCTGTAAAGAGTTTGTACACTAATTTCCCGCTCAAGGAAGCGGTTGAAATAGCCCCGAAGAGATTATATGAGCGAGTGAACCCTTAGGAAACATCTTGAAAAATCAGCTGAATTTGGCAGTGAGTAAGATAGACTTGAAATGCAATGGTTTGTACAAAAAGGCGTTTTAGCAATGAGCGCCTCCCTTGCAGTAATACTCGCCAAATTGTGGCTCAAAGAATACGAACCGGCATTAACGACAGAAGTACCAAAATGGACTGTTCTAAATGAGGGTAACAAGGAAGTCTGCCCTGGATGTCAGAAAAAAGTGACCTATAGGACTAAAGGGGTAGAATGCGAAGCTTAATTGAATTGGTACTACTTAGGGTGCGGTAACATATTGGAAGCCGAATACGCAGACATCGCTGAAACAGTATGGTATTGCATGACTTGCAAAAAACAACAGGAAGCAGATTGGACTGTGAATGGTGTTAAAATCTTCTAAGATATGTGGACGACATAGTTAGAACTGTCAGGGGCGGTCCTGGGGTAGTTCATGAGGCTGCCAATAAGTTGCATGCAAACTTGCAGTTCACAATAGAAGAACTTGATAGTAACGGAAATTTGGCCTTTTTGGACTTAAATGTCCAAATGGATGCAGGAAAAATGATCACATGTGGTTGATACCGAAAACCCACTGATACCGGCACCATTCTAAATTTCAGTTGTTGTGCACTTTTGCAGTACAAAAAAACGTTATTCAAGGAACGGTTCATAGGGTTTTCAGAAGTACCTCAACATGGGAAAATTTTGACCAGGCATTGGAAAAAATCGGAAACAATGAATTGAAAATCAATATCCGAAAAATTGGTCGGAGAGGGTAGTGTTTGAAACTCTTAACAAGATCATTGAGGGAAAGAAAAATTTAGAGGTGAAGGCATCAGAAAGAAGAAAAGATAAATGGTTGAAAGACTCACCACATTTTTTACAAAGCATTATCGAGGCAATCCATCTTAGTTGTTAGCTGCAAAGGTTCGGCTAATATCCGGACACTAAAACTTTTTTAACAAGAAAGTTGAAAACATGCTTGCCATCCCTCATTTTTTCTTTTGCTCGTGAACTGAGATCCAAAGTGGTGTATAAGCTTACATGTAGTGGCTGTAACTCAACCAATGCCGGCCGGACAGTCCAAAATTTAACCACGAGGGTCGATGAACACCGCAAAAGGGGAACCCCCATTTGAGCAACACTTGTTAGAATGTAATGAGGAGGTAAGCGGTACTGCTGACACTCATAAGCTACTGCCACTAGAGGCTTTGCATATTTGGAAGGAGAGGACGAGGATCAACACACGCGATGAATTCAGGAGCCGAGAATTCACACTGAAATTATAGTCTTTGTAAAATATGGCTAAATGTTTGATTGTCATTAGGTTTTTTTTATTGTAACGTTTTGATCCCGCAATCCATTTTTCTCAACATATTTTCAACTTATCCCTGAAAAGTTCGAAATTGATGAACAATTACCCCCAAAAAAACCAACTTCTGGCTTTTCCTCTATTTTGCTATCATCTAATATTATACTGAACTTGGAATTTTGGTTTCTGCTTTGATGTTTTTGCTGAATCTTATCAATTCAAAATTCTTTGTGTGGAAATTTAGAGAGTATTTTGTGAAGTACAGAGACAAATTCTGACAGTCTATTTGCGATAATTTTAGAGAAATTTTGATGTCATAATCATCACAAAATAGTAATGTATCATCTGCATATTGTACAACTTTGCTAGACTCAGTTAAATTCATTTACTTATAGGTTTAAAATTGGGGTCCCAAAATTGTACTTTGAGTTACGTCTTGGTCAGTTGCGATCCAATTGGATTCATTTTTATTTACTACATTTTTATGCTGTCTATTGATTATAAAGCTATGAATCGCTTCAATTGCTTAGTTACAAATCAGACAATTTGTTCTTTGAATGATCGTGGTTGATAGTTTTTGATAACCTAAGAAAAACACAGCAAAATTTTTATTGATTTGCGGAACATATTTTTTGATTTGCGTCCACTGGTTTGCGGAAGAATTCAGTGCAATAAAAGATGATGTCTATTGTTGAAAAAGAAGTTCCAAAACCAAATTGGGTTTAGCTGAGCAGTTCATTCGAGAAGAAGTATTCATTGGTTTGTTTGTATAGCAATTTCACAAATTGTTCTGCTTTTTCTTGGTCATCTTTTTACGCATATTGGTGTAACAATCGCTCTCTTGAGTTTAGTTGGAAATAAATTGTGCTCAAAAAGTTCACTTATAAAAAATGTAGGGTGTGGATATAATTCATTGCACCCATCTTTCAGAGCCAGGCTGGAAGATCAAAAGGTCCAGTTGGTGTACTTGCGTTTGAAAATATTATTTTTTTTAGATTCATTTTCACTCACAAACCGAAAACAAAATTTTTGTTTGCGTTCTTTTTTTGTCCTCGTGTTTTTGATGGTTGAATCAAATATTTTATTATTTTTTTCCTCAATAAACATCCGAGTTTAGAAAACTAGTAATTCAACAAAATCCAATAAAATTCAAAATAAGCCATTTAGAAGTTGTTTTTTATTGCTTCACAAAATGAACTGTTCAGCAATGTAAATTTATTTGCTGATTTTTTCGAGTTTGTTGTGTCATTTATCATAATCCGTTTCTGTCGCTCAGTTGTTTTAGGATTAAATACTTTCGGTATGGAACTATCGTCTTTCAGGTTGACTTTTGGTTTGTCAGTACGAATGTGTAGACTGGTTTGAGTGATGCGCATCTTTTCGGGCAGCTTACTATTTTGGAATTTAGAATGTGGAACAATTTTCAGCGTTATTTTGCCTGTAGAGAGACTCCCAATCAATTCATGTTTGGGCAGTTTTGAATTCTCTTTCTGAATGTTTCAATCTATCGTAGATTTTGCGCTGTAACGGCACAGTTTTATCAACTATCTTTATATCAGATATCAAAATTGTAGCTAAGTGATCAGTCATAAATGTTAGG